TAAAAGCTTAGACAGTTATGAATGCCGAAGATCTATATGTACAAGTTGGCAGGTTTAGTTTACCCGAGACTCAGTTGGGTGGTCAATGATGACTAAACTGTATATAAACGGACGGCGGCAAACGATTTTTTCGGCTATGTGCTGCCCGCAGTTTGTTTTTATGCAGTACTAATTTACGAAATAACCTCAGTTATCTGTCCATACGTTGGCCTTCAGCAGTGCGCCGGCTACGAACTCGAATTGACTACCTTGACACCAGTTACCGATGGCTTCGAAAAGTAAGTGACTACCGCTCGTTTTGGAACACATTCATGGATTCTGATCACATCTTCGACCGGGTTAGCTTTTCCAGCGCCGAGTAAGTTGCGGACAAATAGTTTGACAACCGGGAGGCTGACAGATCCGGATCTTAAATTAATTTACCGGAATATTCTTCTGGGGTCTCTTCAAACTAACGGATGTGAATTCATACTGGGATGCAATCACCAACTCTTTGTACAATGCGTCGGGAGTTTTACCTGTGGCATGTCGATGCCAGACCCACTCAGGCACTGGATATCAAGCTGAACAATGACACTGCTTAGATCTCGGGGATATATCCTCGCAGGCCTGAGTAACTATGAGACGTCAAGTGAAATCGAATGTGCACGCTGATAGTGAAGTTTAGTGGACTTGGAGAGCTAAGGAAATGAAGGAGGCACAGAAAGCCAGAAATGCTAGAAGTTTACCGGATTCGGGCCATCGATACCCGAAACCACCTTTGAGGGAAAACATAAAGGATCAGAATAAAGAACGCCTCGACATTTGGGCTAAGAACTTCGGAAGACAATTATCGTTGCCAGCAGCTGTCATTCTTCTGGAGCCTGCAGCCTAATTAGAACCCTGAGCGGTGAGCCTGGAACTCCTTGAAGGCCTCGGAGGTTTATAACTGCATATGACCTCTCACGCACCGCCGATTAGCCGGCCCGGATGACTATCCACTTCACATTCATCATTATAATCACCTTGGACAACATGATATCAATTTTTAGCGCTGCTGCTTCGCTGCCGTAAAACCATGATTTATTTGAAGGTTGCTTTGTGAAGAAAATAATAAAGGCGGACGGGGAACAGACTTGCTGCTACCTTATCACAATCACTCAGAGGTACCTACCCCTCCAGACGCATTCAGGCAATCTGGATAGAAACTGACAACAAGAATGCTAGTGACATCCAATGGCATCCATAACTTGCAGCGCCTCAGACTAAGCGCAGTGGGGATTATGCAGTCCGCATCCTGGTAGCCGAGTAGCACCGACAGCAATCAAATATTTTGTAACCTCTTTCATATCCCTCTGCCAAGTCAAGGGTTAGCCACCTCTCTGCTTCCGCCACTCTGAATTGGCTACGGAAGACAGCAGCCTCTTTGGCTAACGATGGTTCAGCATACATAGCCTAACCAGCGCAGCCTCTGGTGCTGGGCACATTTTTCGATGGAAGTCCGCGTTTTTGCAATCAAAAACTCGCTTTCCGTTTTCCTCATTACGGAATATCTGATACCAGCCTACACGATCTATGGTCCTGAGATAATAATTGTAGAGTATCTGAAGGTGTCTCAGCTCCGCTACTCAAACAGGTTAAGTCTTATGCCCATACAACAAAACAGCCCGCACTGCAGCTCAATACACATGTCCCTTGAGATTCAGGGATACACCACATTGTCACCATAGGTGTCTCAAATTAGCAAATGCGATCCGGGCCTTGGGTGGTCGTGCGTTGACCTCTTTCGTCAAACTTTTATCAGAACTAATGCAGCTTCCAGGGTACGTGAAACGCTCCACAAATTCAAGTGTCAATCCCTGTAGCGTAAGTGCGGCTTTAGTGACGGCATGTCCAGGAGCACAATCTACACTTTACAGGTACAAAGTGCGTACCAAAGCACATGATGACTTTGGTCAGTTCACCCAAAAACACCTGCGCCTTCTCCTCTTTGAAGACGAGAAGGATATGATTTGCTTATTCCAGATTGAAAAGGCGTTCGTCACAGGATGTTTGAACACAGGGATTTTGGAGACCTTCCAGCTTTCTTCTTAGTTCATCGATCACAATATCGATTAAGAATGGAGGGGGCGTCACCTCAAACTGACAGCGCTTTGTGTACGGGAGTTTTGTAGAACTTTCTGCTCAGTCCCACGCATTCCGAAGTCAGAGAATTCAAAGGGTTTATGTTCACGAATGTCCGGGCATTTCTTTCTGGGTAATCCTGCGAAGGAGAACAGACCGGTTAACCGATTTGAATGCTCTTTGAAAATCCAGAAATGATAAAATTTTAGGTGTTTTGTACGTATGGCGTTATGTTGGCACCTGACAGAGTGTGAGGTCTTGGTCAATGCAACACCTATTAGGCCGGAATCCTACTTGCTGCTCTCGAATCACTATAGGTGGACGAATTACAAGTGACGCCAGCAGTCTTGTTACAACCGGGGTTAATCTGGTAACTCTTTGGTTACAACACTCACTACGAGTCCATTTTTTAAAACGGGCACTATTGGCGACACCCCTTGTCTGGGTCAGTCTTCTTCCCCATAATGCAGACATAGATTAAGCAAGCGCTGACTGAGGAGTTCACTCCCGTCTTTGAACAATGCGGGTGGGAGGGTTTTAGGAGAAGATTCTGGGTGGCGCTTGAGAAAGCATATGCTTAGTGGCTCTTCTGGATTAATGCCTGTCATTTATAGCTTGTTTCGGAACAGTCTGAGATCATCCGCCGTTTGAGCGTTCTTGATTTTAACCTTTTTATTACCCTGTCAGTGTGCGTTACTGAGGACCTTTATTGGAAATGGACAACTCGTCTAACAGATACCAGCCCAGTCTACTTATGACCAGAGCCTAAGAGGATTTGCCAGCGAAATTAAATGCCTGGAAGTCAATGAGTGTTCTCGAGTGTGCTATGTTTAGACTTCTTACAGTTGTTCTCCTTCCTCATGTTGAGTGTGTACTATGGTGGGCTTCGTTAGAAAAGTGTCCTCGAACTAACGAGTGGCGCACTAAGTCAGTCTGCTAGCAGGGCAACAATCAGTGGAATCTGTTCGTTGAAAACGTTTCCGAGTGTCTGTTGAAAAGGCAAAGAGGTTTTTCGGACGTGAACAGATCTACACAGCTGATCGTAAAATATAAATGAAAAAACAGCATCTTTCACATTCGAAAGTTCGTAGTACATATGAGCAGAACGCGATGCAGTTTGTGCGCCTCAGATTGTGCGGTATTTTTAGATCGCAGAACTTTTGGATAAGATCGTGCCGAAAAAAGACAGACTTTACTATTCCTCGAATTTGGTGGTCAACATTCAGCTTTCAGTATTCTCCAGCCTGTACGTACTTGCCGTTTACCTGCTGATGCCAAACAAATAGCGCCATTTAGAAAAATTCATAATTTTTCTGATCACTCGGTTTAGAGTGAGCCAGGCGGCTATGTGGCTTGAACAAAGAACGGGGAATTAAACAGGGGACCAGAGCGTTGTTGTGAGAGACAAGGCAATAGAGGGTTGCTGGATTGCTGTGGATTGGCACGAATTTTGAGGAGGACATTATTTAAAGGCGCAATTGGAAAAGATACTGTCGAACAAAATTAAATAAGTAATTACTGCGCAACCGAATATACTCGGCTTCACTGAACAGCTCCAGGTAATTCACAGATATCCAGTCAAAATGGGTTAACCCAAAGACCATTACCTTACACGAAAACCATCCTTAAAATTTATTTAGCCTGATAGACACTGCTAGACTGAATTTCGGAAGCCATTAAGTAGATTCTTAGCATTTTTGTGACCGGGTTTATTACTCCTTAGACCAGCTTTCTGCCTGAGCTCAAGAAAGCCCAGTGGGCTCGAACTTGCTGACCACAAGGTCTGTGGTTCAAATCCGACCTCAGCAACTCGACTGCTACTCTCTGGGCTCTGGATGCACCTAAAGGGGCTACAGTTGAACAATTATGTGTGTTTTCTATCATCTTCTACATTTGTCCGCATAAAAAGAGACATTCATGCATGTAGCACTACGGAGTGTTTGTATACTTCTGGAATCACCTGGACGCAACGTCCCGCTCGTAGGACACTACGTCTGTGATCTAAACATACCGCGATCCTAGTTCAGTTGTTTATTGACGAGTTTGTCCTGCGGTAGAGGGGATGTAATTTGTTCCTGACGCACTTCATTATGTAACAAAATAAATAGATACGGCATCAGTGTTTTCTACGATTTCCCACAAGCTATCTACAAACATTCTTGCAACAGCAAATGTGGGTTCTGATCACCATAGGCCGAGTTCTAACTTCAAGGTTTTGATTTGCTACAAATTGTCAGGGTCCCTTTGTCCGAAAAGAAACAATCTGGGTCACACCCGGGATTGCTGACAGAGATGCCTGTGATTATTTGGATCACATATTTGTGAAGCATATACTATCAACAGCTTTCAGCTGCTACATCAAAGGTACGAAATTCAGTTTTGGAAATAAATGGTATGACGGCTTGTGCGTACCTTTTTTACTTTTCATAATATGGGAAACTGAAGTGTTCGGAACAACATGAAATGTCACATCTGGTAAGAATTTTGAGTTGAGAATCGAAGACATCTGGAGCTACTGATGATAGCCAGGAGGGTAATTTTCTTTTGCTCATGAATTTCCTGTGGGACGCATTTTCTAATCTATTGTTATTCTCCTTTTAGCATGCATCATAAGGATATCCACCTATGTGTGACTTGAGAATGAAAAAATGAGCTCCTCGAAAGAGTTGACAGACTTTGGTAATGTAGATAAATTGCCCTGTTGCTTACTCTTACTTCAGAACCTGTATCCCCAAGAGAACTACCGCGATATGAGGTAAACTGTAAAATTTACAACTGCTGAATGTTCCATAGATTGAAGAACAGTTACGATTTTACCGGAATGAGTTGGATAAAAAAGATGAGCTAATTAGGGATCTAACAAAGTAGGGAATATGGCTGGATTTATAAATCTAGGCAGGTTAAATTCGGTGAACTTTGTGCAGCCATCGCCAAAGTATATTGAGGCTGGTGGACGTTCTGCAGAGAAGCTTGAACAAATTCGATCACAGGTTGAGAAGTTGCATCAAGTTGTAGGTTATGCGTTGATTAACGAGTGCCTCTGTAGGTTGACGAAAATAGAGGGATTATTCATGAGAAGAACACCATCATTTGCGACCTTCGAGCGGAAAACGAAAAGTTCCGGGTGGATAATCTACGTAGCACACAACGGACAGACGAACTAGAGCAGCAGGTGGAAAAACAAGTGGAAATAATAAATAGCTACAAGGCTGCTGAGGAGCAACATGACAAAATCATCCACATGATCCAGCAGGATATGAAGGCAAAGAATAACAAACTTCTCATCCTAATGAGTCAACTGAGGTGGGTTTGCTCTTAACGTGTTATTTATGTCAACAGATCCAGTGAGGCAAGATTTGCAGAACGGCTTGCATCGGAGGAATTTCGCATCAAGTCCCTGGAAGGCGCCCTGGCAGACTTGAGCCATGTTTTGGAGTGTGAACCGACAGCGGAACAATGTATACTCAAGGTGATTTATCAAGTGAAAGCACCCTAAGATCCAAGCGATCGTTCAAACCATCCATTGCATGGCACGACCTTAAGAAAAACTCGGTGTGTACGGCTCGAACAAAGTTTACCACGCACAACTCAAACAAAGACCACGCTTCGCATTTGGCCCTCCAAGAAATGTATTTTAATCAGTTGAAAGATGGTCCTGAGCTGTGTTTTAAAGTTCATTATTCCTTTCAGTGTATAAATTCTTTCGATTAGACAGATACAAAGCCTCTCCTATCATACGCATTGCAGAATATTGGTAAATCGAGGGCTTAAGAGCACGCGTACTCTACATACTCCCATAAAAACCTCTTGGAGGATGATGGAGATATGCCTTTCTGCTATAAGAAAAGAAAATTATTTTCGAGAAATACACTCATTTGCAAATCGATTTGGTTTTCACGGGAGACTCAATTGAATCTCTCGTTCGTGATGTCCTCCAGCTGAATGTGCTGCACACAGGGCGCCTCATGATTCAGTTGGCACGTTATTTGAGATATCGCAGTATATTTTCATAAAAGAAACTACTCACAAGGTTGCTGAAAACTCTTCGACAGCCCACAACCGGTTTCTCCCAATTGAATCTCCCGTGAAGACCAAATCGATTTGCAAATGAGTGTATTTCTCGAAAACAGTGCAGTGTGGGTTCAAGTAGATCATAAGGTTGACGGAAACTCGGGGACTGCGCCTACCTGATGAGCTCCAAGAAGGGCGAAACCGGCCGTGGGCTGTCGAAGAGTTTTCAGCAACATTGTGAGTGGTTTCCTTCATGAAGAGAAAACTATTTTAGCATTGTTGCCTCTCTGAGACACCACCTGGGCGATTTTATGTCGTGCGTGCTTTTTACTGGAATTTTTATATGGCGAATAGTGTTTGCCATTACTTTCATACATCCAGAAGCTTTTTTGTTATTCATGTAGCGACTGTCAAACCCTACAACTCTTTAATGTGATATTTTATTATTTATATAACCCACAAGTAACATGCACTGGATATAAAACACCGAAAAGAACTATTCTGCGACTGAATCGATAAATAACCTAAGATGTATTGAACATAAGTTGAACTGGATCAAAAAGACTACCGCGTGGAAAGGTGTATAGTGGCTCATCATGGATGGTGGACTGCTCAGGAGGAGTGTCGTCCATCGTTCATAACCTGATTATTGCTTTTGACGAGTTTTTTCTTGGAAACAACGATCCTTACCACAACCTGAATTTGTTAGGTGAAAAAGAACCTCCGGCTTTTTTGGTGGGTTGGATAGTCTCTATTTACATGTCTCATGGATTCAGCATGCATGTATGTTGCTTCTTAAGATGAAACATTTAAAACCTTCCTTCGAAAAGAGTTCTCCTTGTAGAGACGTTGGCTAGCGTCAGAAACTCATTGAACGGCGAAAGATTTATAAAAAATCCTCTGAACTAATCCGTTCTGCTTCTGTTGTGAGCGTAAAAATTCTAAGGTGCTTTTTCCGAAACCGTACTTTCTAGCACAAGTTTAAGTCACCTTTAGTAACGTCGGCACTCAACATAAAGTAAAGAAAGGATACATCAAGTATCCACTCGGTTTTATCCTCTATCCACCGATGCTCACTTCAGCATGTTGAGCAGCTGTCGCATGATGATGAGCAGGACAAATGTATTGGGAGAATGTTATGAGGAACGTTGTTCAGTGAACTAATTTGTTGAGCAGCAAAATGATACCTCACCTGAATTTCTTACCGTTCAGTCAGATCATATTGTGCTCATTCTATTCAAAGTCACTTCTCGGCCTTTGAAATGTATGGATTTCCCTGTTTTCTGCAGTTAGCCAATTTTCGAGCCTTTGTTGAGTGGTCAAGATCATTCTTTGCAGAACTATATCTTCACCGTTCGAGAAATTTGGGTGATGACTTCTCAATAGATGGAAAATTCTTTAAAATTTGAAGTCTGATGCTTGCTCTGGGTTCACCCGGGGAATGCTCCCGTCTTATGGGTCTTTTGGGAAGGGTCACAAATATTCCAGTCATTGTCACATAAAGCCTCCCTATACGAGGACCGCTTTTTCTGAAAGACTTCAAAATTTCTTAAATTTTTTATAGTTAAGCAGATCGGAAACCCCATACAACTACCAGCTACAGATATCTGTGGTAACCTTGTGGTGGACCTGAATTTTCCTGCACATTAGCATCATAGGATTACCTGGAAGCCCAGATAATCTGAGTTTACACTATTACTAGTTCACCTGTGCTTAGCAATCTTTTTCGTAATCCGTAAGGCTATTAGGAGAACAGCATACTCCCACCGCAAATAGGCAAAATAAGTGAAATATGTAATTGACGAAATACAGTCAGTTGATTTGAATGGTATGTCAACCACTGGATCTATTTAGCTTAAAGGGCAGCTAGGGGCAGCTTAGAGAATAAGACGCGAACTTACCAACAGGAAGGTTCGTGGGTCAGACCCAACTTCAGCATCTCGATTGCTACTGCCTATGCCTTGGAAAGCTGGCGATATCTTAGCCCTCATGCTTCCTTCTGGTAGTACAGTAACCGTAGAACACTGTTGGGGCGTGGAATTTTTCATCAACATCGTGGTAGCGGAATTACGCAAACGGGATCAAGACGAACCGTCATTTTGCTGAGAACACTTTTGTTCACGCATAAACAGTACCTAAGGCACAGAATAATGTTTATTTTAGACATTCTGTTTTTATGTGTCTTTATGTGTGTGTCTTTATTTTTACGTAGGCTGTTTAAGTGCTGGTCCACAGCTGAAGGTGAAATCCGTTTTCAGACAATATTTGAGCAAATTTCTCACTCAGCTTCACTGAAAATCTGGCTTGGCATTAGCAAGTCAATCCATGCGTACTTTTAACTTATTTATGCACACGATAGCGGACTTGACAAGTGCTACCGTCAAAATAGCAAACCTGGCTATTGTGTGCTTACGCTGTTCGCAGAGGAATCAACTTATTCATTAATCTCGCTGTGTCCAGTGAGACCGAGTATGTATACCGTAACGTTACATTAAGGGTTAATCGGTAAAGTAATATTTTCTTGCCTTTCACGGCCGTCTGCGTATAAGACTACCAGGGGTAAGCTACTTTTAGGCTCATTTGGTACATAAAGCTTACATATTCTTATCGTACTCCGCAGTCAACTATTTTTAGGCGTTCGTGTATGCCTCCCGTGTTTGTTCGAACAGCCAGTATGGCATGAACCACTTCAGCTTATGCGGAGCAGGTAAATCAGAAGGGTATCGGTAAGCGCATTTAACCTGTATTGACCCAGACCACTCAGGGCCAGTTAGCTCATTTGAATGACACTTAACTAGGGTGCCTAAGTTCCCATGGTTCATTCGAACAATAACGCTGAGAGTCAACTAAAAGTAATCGAAGCCTCGACAGAACAAACCAGCGCGTTCTATTGTGCGCTGTACTATATCGTCATTTTGCTTGTTAAGGTAACACGGTAAACTGAGTTGGAATGATCAGCTGAAGTAAATGAGGAAGAGTCGTTTAAAAGCACAACGCTTCCAGTTTGGTAAGTCTACAGAAGACCACCAGTAAATGAAACTAAAATATCATTTAGTCAGGTGTCTTCTCAAATCCATATTGTGTGCCTACCAGTGGCAGCTGGATCTTATCCTAGAACATACAGTCTATCCCAAAAATAACGTCCTACGAGATTTTCGAATATGCGAATTTGTCATGAGAGAGCTCCTAGGACAACAAATAAGGATCCTGGTATAGTCTCTTATGTATGGCGTTTCTAGTCTATAAGTGTCTCATCACCCGAAGCATTCTACAGTGCTACGTCATTAGCGTTTATCCTTTCCTTTTTTGAAAACTCATATGAACTCACATTAACAAGTTAGTGGTTAGATGTCTGTCTTTCTGGATGCCAGATTTGTTGACTTCACTAAAGTATAAAATTACTTCTGAAGTGTCCTGCCTCGCTTCAGGCGTGACACTAGCCCAGATTTTCACCAAGTCTGTTGTCCCTTATATAACTAACGTGATTTTTCTCTAAAACATTCTGCTCGGTTTCCGTTACCCGTCCATTTACCTGAATTTTCGCCATTACACTACTTCCGGAATTCTAGTCGTGAGAACTGCGCCGCCATAACAAAAATACCTGATGTCGATTGCAACTAGCCGTTTGGTGTGCTCGTTATTGTGAACACCAGCGTTATTCGACCTTTTGTATGGATGACGATGTCCTATTCTGCCGAAAATTCAGCGTTTGTAGCCTCTTGCTGTTTCGCCTGGTGGGTACTTTGGGATGCCAATCGCTAAAAGGCAACATGCTTGAGTTTTGTGGTGGACTAGGCAATGTTTGGTGACGCCGCTGATGTTCATTTTTCTTCTTTTGATCTCAATTTAGTTCACTCTCATCAAAGTTCCCATTTCTGTTCACCTCCATTTTCATGCAGGTGATTTCGAAATTTAAGATCGAAATGAGTTAGTGGAGAAAATTCACTGTATCTTGCATAATCCTCAGAAAATCACCCTTAAAATGAACTACGCTAGAGACTCAGATTTAGGCTTTTATGGTTATTTTAACAAAGTTGTTCAGCACAACCTTAACCTTAGCTCTAAAACGTCAGAAAAGAAGCGAGTCTGAAATCCATGGAAGTTTACTTATCTGTATCCTGTCTTCACTCGACTAATCACTGGTGAGTTATTTTTATGGCCTATGGACCACAGAGCTATGATCTTTCTGGAACTAGGATCCCTTTGATGAACAAAATCACAAACTATCCAACGAGGTGGGGAAAACCCTAATTCAACTTGGTGCATAGGTTCTCAAAATGAAAAGTGTCCGGAGAGTTTCCAGCGCAGCTTACCAAGTTATTTTGGAGAGAACTTTTGAATTACCCTAGTGATAATTTCGTTGGTTTTCCAACGTTTACATTGATCATGGCCTTTTACGGTGAAATCAGCTCATTTTAACCCAAGAATCGTTTTCCAAACAGGCCTATTTTAATATGCCGTATAGAGGTAGGAAACCTTTACGCTGAACCCTTTGGATGGACAATAACATCCTTGAAACTGACAAAAGCTGAAAATCATGCAAAACTATAAAGAGAAAAAGTGTGCCGTGTTCATCACCTTTCTGCCATGTTGAAGTGATCTCATTTGGAGGTTTTATCAGTTGATCTGGGTTGCAAAATACTTCGAGGCATGCAAACATGCTACTAACGTAAAACCAACATGGCAACTTATAGTACTAAGGTAAGGAAGGGCCTTCCTACAACGAACTCCCCTAAAGCAGACTGAACCAAGGCCACTTTAGTGGATATTTCAAATCAGTTCCTACCGGCTTCCATCCGGGAAAAGCTAATGTCTAGTGCGTGAACATTGTCAGACTGCAAGTAGTTTTTTCAACTGTTCGTCTTGCCTTCCGACAACCCAACGAGGGTATAGTGGAGTTTCAAAAATGGCAGGCATATTTGCAGACGAAAGAAAATCAATGGTAGGACAATCAACGTAGATGCACCTTTGATGGAGATGTATGTGTGATGATAAGGCTGTAGGCACTGAAGTTTTAACACAACAAGTTTTAACATGTTTTAACATGACCTAGCACCCAGGATAAGCCCCTCCTCCGAAACCACGTAAATCCTATGTAACACTGAAGCCAGTCTTAAGGGTGCACAAGTATACCTATCATAAATTCTCACAAAGAATATTACACACCCTAGTCTCGAACCTGGGAGTTTCAACTCTATGTTACTTGAAATATCCTTTCGAGTTTTCTAAATACTCGACAGTGGGCAAGTTCATCAAGGATATTTTCCGTTGATATGCGTGTGTGACATTGTCAGACTGAGTGAAAACGTTGATGGACTGTGTGACTACATCACTCAGTAGACATCCTACCATATTACTTATTGGTTGTTTTATACACAAAGGCAATTGTTTGTGGAGGGGTGGATGATGTTGCCATGAGTAGCCCGTTAGACCAGACCATTGCTAATTTTCTCTAGAAAAATAGAGAAACCTGGTTCTGTGCTAGAAGTTTAAGTAAAATTCTGGAACAGCAATACTTTAAGGTTATTCATGCTTTGCTCCTGATTATCACTTCCGTTTACTTTTTGTTACTGTCTGTATTCCAAAAGAATGAGCCCCATGATGGTTTGGCTTTCATTGAGGTACTAATTGCCCGGCATCTGGGTGGGAGTTTGCAAAGAAGCGTCCACCAGTGGCCGAAACACTTGATTATGCTAAAAAGCTGTTACGTGAAGTCAGGTTTCCGTGTACAGCTGACCAACCGTCTAAGAAGAATATTTGCTGAAAACTCTTTTAGTCAACGGTTACACAGAGGATTTCGTTACCTTACATAGCACGCCAAACTCTGACAACCACAGTCAAAATTGGAGAATGTGAAGACTAAGCGTATCTTGAGACTCAAACAAGAGCTTCAGTCGCCTCAGTACCGGACATGTGTAGCACCTGAAATTTGCCTGCAAGATCTCTACAACGTTTTAAAACAGGCCACATAATCTGAGTTATCATTCTGACCCACACATCAACTGTAAGCTCGATGTCACTTGCGGAGACACCTATATTGGTTGATAATCGAGTTTATTATCGATGGTCTTCATAAAATATTACAAACTGGTTACCACAGATCTTGCAGCACAACAACAGAACACTGTTAGCATCATGAACACAGTCAGTTTCGTCGAGTGCAAACTGCATATCCGAGACAGGCCGCCTGATTGAAAAGTTTTAAATAGTTCCTGTCCAAGTAGAAATACACTTTCTTTTTTAACATTTTCGTTTATTGTCATCCCATTCAACAACATACTGCCCCTTCGAGTCCATTCTGGCATCTACTGCATTTGCTCAGTGCTGCCGAATAGCGATCGGGTCAGGCTTGAAAAAATGTTGTTAAAGCAGATGCCGTCAGCTCTTCACCACCACCATCATCATCATCATCATTATCGTCATCATCACTATCGACAGTATGACATCAGTATTCATTCATGCTTCGCCGTGAATTATTTGAAAGCCTTATTGTGAAGGAAACAATAAAGGTAGAAGGAAAATCGACTTAGTATCAGCTTACTTCAATTATTCCGGGATGCCTCCACCTTCAGGAACCCATTCAGGAAATAGAAACTTACTACAAGAACGCCAGCGACATCCACTAGCAGTCATATCTTAATACCTCTTTACTAGGTCAAGGTTTGGACACCTCTCTGCTTCCGTCACTCTGAATTGGCTACAGAGAACAGCAATCTCTTCGGCAAATGATGGCTTGGCATACATGACCTAACCAACAATCTCTCTGGTGCTGAACATATTCTTCAATTGAAGCCCGTGGTACACAACCGAAAACTCTCTTTCTACTTGCCTCGTTACGGATTCTCTGACATCAATCCACTCAAGCTATGGTTCAGAGGTCAAACGTTATGGCTTCCTAACTAGTTCTCCTGCAATATGCTTATTGCGAGTATAACAAACAAGAGAACTGCGAGATATTCACCAAAACTTTCCAAATTGCCAGAGTTTCTACGACAGGATTCAATCCATCCATCATGACCACACTGGTCTGTACCTCATTCTTGTTCCCGCCAGGCTGTACCGAAGATAACTATCACAGACAAACTTCTGAAGGAACACATTTACCGGGAAAATAAATGAAAAGACCCACTCTCTCATTGACGCCGTTATGTAACTTACCACTCTACATTATCTCGTTCCTGTTCGCCCGCTGCCTATACTGCATTAAAATCGGAGGGCCGAGATCTTTTACAGACGTGCTAAATGGGGAATCATCTATCACTATCTATGATGGCAACTGTCTACCCCATCGGGATTCTTGTGCTTAAACATGGTGGTCCAAGGTTCACTTATCGTTTGTCTACGTGCATGTAGATTTGACGTATCCGGAATCACCGATTACCTGATGTTTTATTGAATCGTTTGAACATGTAACGATGGGTTTCGTGAAGTACCAGACATGGTACTGGTTGGTCTCTTGTTATCTCCGTCTGGTCATGCAGCGCACTGAACTCTTTCAGCAGCCGTCATCAATGTCATGGCGCTGGTCATTATCAGCCTGTGCCAACTCGAATCAGCAGCTTCAGTCTCCTCTTTAAGGCAAACCTGACTGTATACATACGATTGATGAAGGGGAGAAATTATTTGTCATGGTCCCGTCAAATGGATATCCCAATTGTGGCACCGGCAATTCCTCAACTGTATCGTGCCACGATGTGACGAAAGACTTTCTATTGAGGGACACCGTCACATCATTCTCGAGTCAGAGGAAGTGATTCACAAAAGCCTCATCACATCCGATATCGGAAGCCTTCGAGATGTTGACAGAAGCCAGCCTCAGGTTGAAAACGACTACTGAATTGTAGTGGAGCAATGCGTAACGCAACAAGGTAGCTTCTAATCACTTATCGTGACATAGGACCGCAAACTTGAATGAATATATTTGCAAACTACTTTTATAGAGATTTGGAAGTAATTTATGAAAACGCTGAACCGGAAAATATTACCCGGAGCTTCGTTCCAGATGTTTACTTTTGCGAATCTTCAGAATCAGGGTGATTTACTTGAAGAATAAGTTTTGTGGGCACCCGACGAGCAGCCATTCTCAGCATAGTCATAGTCATCGAATGCGCTACATTGGCACTTATGAATGGTGCTTCCTTGACATACAAATATAATTTATCCGAAAGACGGTTGTGAAAAAACAAGATGGATAAGGGACCTACCCTATCTATCGTAAGTTTACCTACGGATACTCCTTCCGACAATGTGGATAGCGACCAACAGCATGAAAGCGCTTGTCATCGGGTGGTAGCCATTTGTTGCAGACTCCGTTGTGCAATATAGAAGGATCGAACAAGCCCCATCGTGATTCCGGTCTACAGCACGCGGAATTTTCATGATCGCTTTCATACCCTTCTGTCGGGTCAAAGGTTCTTAACCTCTTTCTTTTTAGGGTCAGATCAGGTCGAGCGCGAAAATTGGCACTCTTTTTGGTGGATTATGAGCCTGCGGAACCCAAACAACGCAATCTCATGGTAGATACACTCTGAGTAAAATCCGTTTTATATAACCGAACGCTGGTTGCTGATAGTCTCGTTATCGATTCGTTAGCACCAGCCTGCACAAGCTATGTTTGGGGCAACCAGATAGTAAACGCAGGTGAGTGAATTTTTAGAGTTGTATATCCACTGCGTTTACAGTCAGACTTATGGTTTGATTGAAGTCGCTGAATAATTTTTATGGGGTGGACCGAAGATGAGGGACTGAGCCAGCCTTTTACTGCGGTATCTGTTGCAGTTGTCACACATGAACCCACGAATTTTTTCCAAGCTCTTGCTAGGACTGGTGAGGGGACACCATCTACATCACGTTGTTAGTTGTCGAGAATAAATAGCAATTTTTAAGACAAACAGAGTAGTCATCCCCATCTTGTAGTCGTTTACCCAGACCAACCTGCGGGGTATCCCACTAGCACGGATTGGCTTAGAGCACCGGCCACTTGTACTACTATAACTGCCGATAATAATAATACATCACGAAATTCCAATTTCAAATCATTCAATTATCTTTGCTTGAGTTTTAACCAGCTAAACGGGTAGAGTACAACGGCTTTTAATACGGTTTTTGAATGTCTTGTGAAATGTATTGGAATTGCGCATGCTTCATCTCTTAAAAATCCCAGCGAGCTTTGTCTGTTCAATTAACGGCGCATAAATTCCAATATCTTATTGGTTTTCAGGTTACTGAGTTGGTTCGAAAAATATGCGCCTACAAAACTCAGCTCGATCAGAGGGAAGATGCAATCCAAGCCTTCGAATATGAGCAGCGTGCCTCACGGGAGACTATTTTGAGGCTTTCCGGTGAACTAACCAAAGAGAAAAACGAGAAAGCATCCGCAAACGAAGATTCACGCAAAGCGAGAGAAGTAACCCGATGCACCTCTTTTTGTCCTCCTGTGGAGAATTTTCTCTTCCCATCACGAATGATTTTCACTTATTAATAGTTTGAGAATAGTGATGAACACCTTTCACATGTTTGTTATATCGTATCAACATTTGGAAACCGCCTAATGCTCTAGCAGGCAAGATCAAATCATTCACACTAAAATATTAGGACAATCTTCACCTCACGTTTCGCTAGTAACTAATGTCAAGGTTTCGCTCATTTGAATCCTGTTCAAGAGGTGTTGTTGCATCATGGTGAAGAGTCATTGTAAGAATCATTGTAGAGTTGATGAAGGTTCCACAAACACAGCCCCCAAAACTCAATCACTTGGAGAACGTAGTCACTACATGGTTCCATTTCTTCGCTCTTCCTCACAAACTTTCTATTCAGACGAGTATTGAAATAGGTAGATTATTTTCCCATTATGCTTGGATGGCCAGCAAAACAAATCATCTTCACACTACCGTGCTTCCGCTGCCGTAGCCGACAAGTACTCTGTCCTTATTTGGGTGAAAACAAAGTGCTGGCGGTTGGTAGTGGTTACAGGTAGAGAGGTGTTTAACTGCGAAATATCTTGCATTGGAATAAATTGCTTTGCTGTGTGTGGCATAGTTATCCATAGACCATAGACAGATACTGATCTACGCATGACGGGATATTCAACTGTTTCCACCTGCCTAACACAAAAATGTGTATTTATCCCCCATCGCATTTTGAATGCAGACTCTTTGTTAACTTATATTACCCAATATTATTGGAATCAGTTAATACAGCTTACTGATTAAGATTTCGGTAGTTCGTGCTTAGATGGGAGTAGTTCTAAAGTATAATCAACGTCCCGGTATCATGGTCAAATTAGTGATTTTTTGCTGAATTTTCCTTTCACAGTTTATTAAATTTACCATCGTATAATATGATTTCAAGAGGACCAAACGACTTTTAACTGCAGACAAAACCAAGATAAGCTATCTTTATGGTGATGCTGAACAACCCTGAAATAACTGAACGACATGCCATCTTTTAGTGACGTTCTTGTTGTCAGGCTCTATCTAGATTGCCTGAGTGAATGTCGGAGGTGTAGGCACCTCGGAATAATTGTGGTAAGCTAGCACTAAGTCCCTTCCCTGTCCACCTTTACTCTTTTCTTTACAATAAGGCTTTCAAATAAATCATGGTTGTACGACAGTGGAGCATCGGTAATGAACACTGATGTCATGCTGTCGATGATGATTTCAGGCTTAAAGTGACTTTTTATCCAAAAGCGAGTTTAACTTTTCTGGATTTGCGCTGGCTTGGAAATTTGCCGTCATGATAAAAGGTTGTGGATTTTCCTTTTGACGAACTTCAGGAGTTGGTGAAGACTCAGAGTGCCCACGAACAGTGCGGACATCATATATGTCTGTTGGAAGGCCGAATAAATGATCTGGCAAATAGCTTACAGGCTGCTCGAAGGGAGGCTGAAGAAAAGGATAAGATGTTTGCACTGCTGAATGAGGCGGAAACAAAACTTCAATCAAAGAAGATCCTGAGTGCTTCTTCATGTGGACGATCAGGTGGCTCGAATGATGGAACGCAACCCGCGGATATTGAGGCTTTTAGAGCGTTTCTGTAAGTGAATCCATAACTAATTCGAATCACGTACACATCCTATGGTATCCATCATTAATGATTTTCTGTCACAAACTCGTCAGACTGAAGTTCAACTGATGAGTTGCATCTTCCATAATTGCAGCCGACAGGTTTCTGAAGAATGAATTTTCGTTATATTAACTGCATAGGCAAGTGCCACCGCGTGTCAACTGATGTTCTTTCTCGCAACCTTACCTAGTACGCATCAACTTCATCTAGTTTGCATTCTCATCAACGTGTGACGATGTGGTGGTTTGAACTCGACAGGTGCCCTTACTGATATGGTAGGTTCCTGCTAATGTGCACTCAATCAAACCGTATGTCAACGCTGCCTTCAGTGAATTTTTCAAGCCAAAGTATAATCATACCAGAGATTCAAGACAAATACCATTCAATAACAACTATTTTATCCCATTAGGTTGTCAGAAGCCCATTTAGTTACCACCAAAGAAAAGTCTGATGAGCTAATAATAAGTGATCCGTCTATCATCATGAGACCACAACAGAGTGAAATCAGTGTTATTAAGGCACAGTTCATTGTAATCACTCAAGGTTCTTCGAATTACGTTTTGATGAGTCACCCGAACCGATAATTGTTGTGTTCGCAGTGAATGAGGACCATTCACAACCTTTCAAACCAGCTAGTTTCAGAAAGTCAGGCACCAGACAGCCTGAAAAATATCAATCACTCGAACTGCTGATGACTTCAAACCAGCTTGACTTTCCGTTTAGCTTATTGGAGCTGACAACCAGTTGAATTTCCATTAGCACCGGGTGAGTTTGCGAATGCATAACCACACCTACGTAGGGCATTTTGTTGATCTGTGAAATAAGGTTAAAATGAAGTTGCTCACCAGCTGAAAAATACAGTGAAATTTAAGTGTTCACCAAATCTAAATAGCTTTGGGTCAACAAATGCTTCGGGTATAAATCGTTCGAAAGGAAACGGGTAGGGGATTACTTTACAGCTCATTCAGCTGTTGATTATGATAAAAGAGAAATTCGGTTGATGTTTAGTTTAGCCCCATGCTAACACAAGTTGGGTGGTTAATTGGTGAACAGACCTTTGTTTTCTATGAGCCAGCAACTAAACCTATAACCAGTAACAAAGCAGCCATTTTGAGTCCACTTTTTTCTTCCCGTTCCTCAAGTAAACAAACAAGGATTGATCTGCTATCATCCATCAGAATCCCCGTTGTTTCCCTGTAGTCTGGCTTGGCTGGTTGAAGCACCTCACTACCTAATAATATATCTGTTCAATAAAAAGATGTCAGTAACCGTCATCAATATCCCCATTACCATCATCAGTGGTGTTGCTCCAGATACTGTATTGCTGAACAAGCTCAAAAACTATTCTTCGAAGGTCATGACAACCACATATTTTAGAACATTAGGACTAAGATTAGTGTCTCATTTACTGGTGTCTTGGTGCTCTGCGAGTAGATTCGATTCTAATCCCAAGATAAGCGCTGCACTACTTCTGCATACTAAGGTGGAAATTTTTTTAAGTAAGCGATTCAGACCAACCGCCGTTGGTCTAGTTAAACCAATGCTTTGAGTATTTGGAACAAGAATGAAATGTCTGTATTATTTAGCAGAGTTCGACCAGATTGCACAATGTTCATTTTATTGAGGTTTTACTTATCACCGATAAGAAGATCCTGTTTAATTAGTGGAATCAATTTATTACTGAGGCACCACAACAGTCACCAGTGCAACTGCAGAAATAGATTTTTAATGTGACGTAACTACAACAGCGTGCATCTAGCCCTACTGAGGCAAGTGAATTTTACGTTAGCAAACAGAACAGACAGTGTTTGTCCAGACATTACCATATCCTAATTAGCTCACTACTGGTTTGCCGTTATGAAAATCGGTTCGAATGGATCTTGAACATGGGTGCTATTCATAAACTTTCATCACTAATTAACCAACCAACTTGGTGTTCGGATGTGGCTGAACCAAACGTCAACCGAAGTTCTCTTTTATCATGATCTACAGCTGAATGAGCTGTAAAGAATGCCACTTCCCGTTTTCTTCCGAACGATATCCGATATCCGGTTTGTACCGGGCTGCACTTCAAATGTTTTTGTGATCTCTGTGTGTGAGCCGAATATTCATGTCAACTGCAGGTCACCGAATACTGTTCCATCAAGACAGCACATTTTACGGATTAACATGGAATAATACGCAACAGAGGCGATACATAACAGAAACAAAATGATAAATGTCTATGTGGCAGTCATCTAGAAATCATATCTGAAGTGGCCTGCCCAGAATGGTTTGACTATAATTCATTAGGCAAAATAAATGTTCTCCTTTCCGATTCACAGAGTTAATTACGGTGTGATTTGGTGGGAGGGTATCTTTTAGGATCGAGTAAACTTAACTAAGTTTGTCTCGAATTCAGTACCAGTAGGATTCTTGGTCCAGTTTATGTCCCTAGTGTTGATGCAGACACAGTGAAATGTTTCCTGCAACCAGCTATTTCGTTCTCTAAATATATCACGGAGTCGTTCTGTTTCCAACAAGCTCATCTTGAGATGAATTCGCGTAGCGCTGCAAAAGTTAGGCTCTTGTGTCCAATAATGTTGCTGCTCTAAGTATTGCTTGGGCTTAGTCTTCATATCCAGTGTGTATATCAAGCGAAATCACTTTATGACCTCAGCACTTCATCCGGCTGATGTTAAACATGATAGTGGACCATTCCTACCAGAGAATAAATCACAATTGGCCAACATTTTTCAACACTGTATCCCTCACCAACCTACAGTGACATGTGATGCCTTGACATACATTTCAGTCGCACTGTTGAACCTGCTTATGACTAGATTTTCTTTTCGGATAATGAGAATCCGAGTTGAGGATTGCTGAAACGGTACTTTAAATGTGAAACACCTCCAATGCTATAAACTATTTTGGCTCGGCCAAGTGTCTTGCACACAAATCATTGTCTATCTGAACTAATGAAGTCCATCGCGCCCATTTCATTATGCCCCCGTGGCCATAACACATCACATGCGTGGATGGATACTTAGCAAGAGCTAGTAGGTAACTGGTGCCAAGGAAGTCCACACTCAGTTTATTCTAGATTTTTCATGCCAGTAGAATCTCACTTGCAAACTAATAAACCAGTAGCTGAGAGGAAAAATAACTCCGCAAGGTTAGCGAAATGTCTATTTGAGAGGTCGGCACCCGAAGAGCCAGCCAATAATCGAATGTGTGGTGTGGTCCCCGTGACTGTAGAATGAGTGGCACTATATCTTGTTTAAGTACGAGCTAATAATGCTGCTGATCAGCAGCTTGTTGCAAAACGTTTTAGTTTTCAGTTACTACCCGGAATGATTCGGGTTCGAAACTCTCTGAGTTTCATGAGATTCTCAATACTGGTGTTCCCAACTAGGGATGGAAAAGCCGTACAGTGTTTTACAGCTTTTCAACAGAGATCAGCTTCAGTAACAGGACGAAATTTCGATAGAAAATTACCACCTGTTCTCATTTTACCGTCAATTATGTATTAGCAGAGTGGGCGTCTACAAATGAAAGCCTCCCAGGTAAAGATGATGACTCCAAGTTCTAGTTCGGCAAATGTAATAATCTCCAGGAACTAACGTCACACACAGTACAGGACTAATGGTGCAAAGATGACGAGTTTTACATTATAAAGTGTACACCATCACTAAAGAAGATGACGGAAAGGTAGCGGAAAACTAAAACAGGCCGCCTCATGTTTCAGTTGGTACGATATTCGAGATATCGCAGTATGTTTTCATGAAGGGAACTACTCACAAGGTTGCTGAAAACTCTTCGACAGCCCATGACCGGTTTCACCCTTCTTGGAGCTCGTCAGGTAGGCGCAGTCTCCGAGCTTCCGTCAACCTTTTGTTCTACCTGAACCCGAATTGGACTGATTTCGACAAGTGAACTGATTTGGTTTTGACGGGAGGCGCAACTTAATCTCTCGTTTATGGTATTCTTCGAATGAATGTGCTACCCAAAGGCCGCCTTATGTTCCAGTTGTTACTCCACTGAACTGGGTCGCTCTTTATTACGGCGATCAAACCACTCAAAGTTAGCTATCAAAATTCGAAGCGTTGCGTCAGGAACCGAATCATTTGCGACTGCGGTTGTTTGAATTGCACTTGTGGTTGTTACTGGCCTGCTTTCAAATCATCTACTGGATTTGTCACTTCAAGTTCGAAATGTAATTTCACTCCAATGGTTAGTTGTGCCGCCGTTTATTTCATCCTTAGTCCTTTTTCTGTCCACCAGATGGCAAGCAGTACAAAGGACTAACAGCTTTCGTGAAATGCATATTGAAAATGAATTGGGAAGTTGGTGATGGAAATGCAGATAAGGTCAACAAATAGCCCCTTAGTCCAAGTGCGAGGACGCGGCCGAATCATTTTTATCAAAACTACTCAAAATAAAAATATTGATTTGTTATACAGCTTCCCCAACAATATCTACTATAAGAGGTGCTATGGACTGACTCGTTGCGGTGAATCGAATGTTCTTCTTTGTGGTTTCTGATGACGGAGTTCGTTTTGTTATCTTGGTGATTATTTTCCCGTCACTGTCCAGAAAAATCCCAT